CAAAGTCCTAAAAGACTAAGACATTAACCACTACAGAGAAATTCTGTCCATAGCTGGAATAGTTAAGTACAAAAGAACACAAATACATTGTTGAATTTGGGAGTTGTTCTCACAGCCAAACAACTTTACACAAGAAAAATCAAGAAGTATTTAAATTTTGAGTTTAGGTTATAACTTAATAAATGAGCACCTCAATAATCATTGTGTATCTTTTTTCAGTTTTGTTTTAAATTTTAACAATTGCTAAAAAATGCCTTTGGACTAATTGACCCTACCTTATAAATTACTTACAATCTTTTTATATTAGTGATTTTAACAATGCAGCCAGTATCTACAAACAAAATAAGTATTATTAAAACTGTTCTGCCATAGCACATACAAAAATGCAATCACCACTTCAGTACAGCAGTAAGAACTACTTTAGTGCAGTATTTATTATGCTTTAGTAACTGTGATGTGAATAATTGCCTGTTTTTCCAAAATCATTCATTAATTGTATTATCTACTTCTATGTCCAGGAATTTTGCTTAGAGAACAGCAATTCAAGGAGGCAAATGATAAAAGCACGTCTCCACTTGTGCAACTGTTAGCTGTCCTCCAAATTACAGGCTGGAACAGCCAATATATAGGACCCTTCTACAAAATAGATATAAGGATCCCTAAGAAAAACACAGATGGTGTCAGAGTCCATGAGTTCATTAAAAAGCATTCAACTAGAACCCAAAACTTGAAGATCACTGTCTACACTCTGTACTCCTTATGGAAACCAGAGTCATGGAAAAAAATATTACTGAAAAGACCTCCATCTGCTGATGTAGCATCAGTTTCCTCCAATACTAGCCCTACAGTAATTTTGGTAGAATCCCAGCTCTTCCAAGGAACGCAGCAGCAAACAAAGTTCACAGGTATATGCCATGGAGTCCTAGCTGGATTCACAATGTTGCCAGCATCCAAAAGCCTCCACGACAACTCATCAACCTCCTCCTCTGGCAAGACCAGAGGCTGAGGTTTCACATTCTGGGGCAATTGCGTCACTTTTTTTTTCTGCTAGGTTATTTTTCAGTTGGATCAGTTCCCCACACAGCTGCACGTTCAGCTGTGCCAGCACAAAGCAGAGAGCAGCAACAAGCAGAGGGAGGTGGGGTGGGGTGGGGGGTGCCACCAAAGACACGCCCAGGGAACAACCAGTTTGGAAACCTCTGAAACAATCAAACAGCTGGGGAATAGCTGCCTCCGTTAAAAAAAAAAAAAAGAAAAAAAAAAAAAGGAGGAAGACATCTGATTAGAGTTAAGAAAATGCTACTGAGGAAACAGAAACAGAATAGTTTTTCATGGGGAGGAGAGAACATTCTCATTTTGGGGAAATCCGGAAGCCAAATTCTGAGCAGTAACGATCAAGGCGTTGAAAGCTGGGCACAGAAACCACCTCGAACACGCTGGCGAAGCTGAACCAATCTGCCTTGGCTATAATCATCTGAATACAAGTCAGTAGCTCACAGTATTCAAAAATCTGCGAAAAGATTGAGACTTTGCCTAGGACCTTCTCCTAAGAGTAGCAGAGTGTAATTAACAAGACAACTCAATTTCACAGCTGCAGCTAACACCAGCAATCCAAACAGACCGCATTTGGGGAAAACTACAAGCTGCAGACCAGCTTCAGATATTTTAAAGGCTAGGAAAAAACACTGTGATACTGTAGTGTAACTTCAGATATAATGCAGAGGAGAAAGAATCCAGTAATTTGTGATATAAACTCACAACTTCTGTTGGAGACAGGTACTTCTTTTTCATGAAAAAAAGCATATTAAATCTGGATTTCAGTGGCTACAAGCGACAGAAAACTTAATGCATTTCAAGAAAAATTAGGTTTCATTTAAAAATATAAATATCTATGCTAGATGTACTTAGACTTCAGCAAGACATCAGTCATCAACTTACTCCACATTCAAAGGCAGCCTGCCCCTAAACCGATATTCCCTGCTTACATCCAGCAAGGGAAGTTTTTGCCTGGTTAGTTCCCATAACAACATGCAGCCACCTGCCATGAATCTCTCTCAAAATCCCTCTTTTTCTGCGGTATGAGGCCTAATTCTTATTTAAAAGTCTTTTTTACTACACTTACAAGAAGGTATTACCTACATGAAAATACTAACACACAACAAATACACCCAACTGAATGGTCCACGTTTGTCAAGACATTTGTGAAAAAATGAGACTGATCAAACCAGAGGAAATTATAGATATGAAACCAACAGAACTGTATCAGCCAAGCATTGCTTCATCTTGGTCACTGGTTCAACATCAGCAGTCAACTAACAATTCTGTTCTACTTCACAAAAATTATATTGCAAATGCTTTTAAACAAAGAAAACTATCACATTTGCCTTTAATACATGTGTATACATCTGTATATAATGTGTAAAGATGTGTCTTTATTAAAGATGTTTAATTTAATAAATAATAGGCTTCCAAGGAAAAAAAAACACTGTTGTTCAGCATTAGTAATGCTACCATCTTGTGATATTTTATTAATTGTATCCATCAATTTCTCCACAACTTTGTTCAAGACTAACTTCAGACTCGACAGATTTATAGTTCTGAAGATCATCCTGCTTCAGCATTTTACAATTCCGGAACTTCAGCACTTAAAAATTGAATAAAATATACATTAGTGAGATTAAAACATTTCCGAACTCCCTTTACTTTTCAGTTCCCAAGGATTTAAATTTTAACTATTTGCAATTAGAATGTATGATAATTAAAGCCATAGAATTTATCGAATGGCATAAAGTTTATTTTTATTTTAAATTTATTATCTAAACATACCAGCATTCTACTTGTTTCAAGTAACAGTTATAAATTAATTATAGAACTCTTATAACTTTTTGCATTGTGGATAATACTTTCATGGTCTTTGGCACTGGAGTTCAACAACTGTTGTGAAAATGAACATGTGTCCCTCACCTAATAAAAAACCCCTGTAACTTCCCTTTTCCTATCAATTAAAATTCCTCCAGTATTATTTTCACTACTACCCTATTTCTCTGAAAATACAGATACACCTTTTTTTTTTAATACTTCATTACTAGAAGATTTTTCCACTTCTTGAGACTTACTTCATGATTGAGATGAGACTTTAAAAAAGCATCTAAGAAAATACTAAGAATTTTAATTCAGGTTTTTAAGGCCTATACGTTTCTTCCCACAAAGCTCTGCCTATGCTTGGTTACAGTTCTGAAGAACTGCTACTTTTAACCATCATTTACATTTTTACATTTGTTCTTAAAACTATATACATAGTAAAAAGCAGACTCCATCAATAAACCACTCCTCTGATCCATAGCAACACCTAGTCCTGTCACTCTTAACTGTTACCAACTCAACAGCAAAGTAAATACAGTTCAGCCCACACTCCTGCTCTGTATTTACTAAGAAAAGTATATCCAATACTGCACTCACATCATACCAAGTTGTATTAGGCTAATCAGAAGCAGCAGTGCCAGCTGTTTGCAGAGGAGGTGGCTGTGAATTTTCATACAATAAAATGAAATAAAATAAAAAATAAAAAAAACCAGAATCAGACTATTATTCAGCAAATTCTATAGTCAGCATATTGCCATGTTCCCTTCAGGTCTTCCCATGTCTCTGGAATTGGAAATACCAGTGATTATATTAGACCAGTTGTATGGACCAGTTGAGGAAGATGCCTTGTCATCAAAGCCTTCTGAATTTACATATGGAATTTAGGTTACTAGGGAAGAGTTTGCATTTACATCAAATCTAAACATTGGTCACCTAAAACATGAAGGTGAGGTAGGTTTCCAGGAACTTTAACTCACACTGTTTTGTGTCAGATGGTGAACAAGTGGACATATACGCACACTGTTATGAAACAGTCCCCAACTAGCCTGAATCACTAAGCAGTGCTTTTGAACTACTATCAGTTACAAGTCATTTCCCTATTTCTATATCCTGAAGTAATTGTAAACCAGTATTTTTGTGTGTTTAGAAAAAGGGTTGGGATGGGAGTAAACATTTTTGGCCTGGAGGTGTTGCTTGTTTCCTTATACAAAGTCAAACAGAACTGCATTCCTATTAAAACTAAAAAGTAACAATAAAAAAATAGTATATTCTGATCTGTTCTAATTAGCTAGATAGAGTAAGATCCAAAAAAACTTCTAATCCTCCATACCTCCCACAGTCACTGGGAGGGAGGCAGCTATCAGACACTGGGCCTGACACCCAGCAGGGCATGAAGCTGAAGATCTAGCCCTATGTGTCTCAGTCAGCAACGCACCAGAGCATCCAAGTATCTTTGGGAATCCACACCACTAAGCAGAAAGCCCTCTACTGATCCACAAGCAACAAAGCACAAGTGTACATAAAGTTCTATGTTCACTGGCTGCAATGATGGCAAAAACCATAAATTTCAAAATCTGATGAAGCAGAGACCTAAAAATAGCCGCCACCACCCCGCAAACCCCTACACTCATTCTTCCACTTGGTATTTAAAACAGAACTTGAAACACACTCTAAGTGCAGATTTCTGCTTTTGGATTAACGCTTTCAGCCCAGCCTTACCTGTTGAGATTGTGGCCATACATGAGGGCAGTAAAACAGGGTCTGGTCCCCTGCCCCTGTGTCTCCCACCCCCCATAGGAAACCTTCAGAGGCACGGGTTCAACTGCTTGTACAGTCATGTCATAATGAACCACAGAAATTAAGTAGGCACAGTGGTACTGCTGTGAAGTGAAGAAACTTCATGTTCATACCCAAACCGTTGGGGTTTTTTTTGTTTTTTTCAATTTAAAAAAAAAGAACAACTTGCCTTTGTGAAGACATTATCAGTCTTATTCTGTTATGGGCTTTGAAATTCAGCACAAACTGAGAAAACAGCGGGTTATCCATATATTTTTTTGTTCTATTCTGTCACTTACATCAAATGACAACCCCCCAATGACATTTAACAGAAGTAATAAAAAAAAAAACCAAACACTTACCTTTTGGATAATCTTCCAATAAGAGGTTGAAGTGACCTAACTGACAAAAGAAATCAGACTCGACCTTTCCTTCAGCTTTCAAAATTAGCGATTCATAGCAGCGAACAGCCTGGGAAAAAGAAATACAATATTTTCACAATTCTGTATTTAACTAAAGCAAATAATACATTTTCTGAGAAATAATAAAGTTTCTCGTCAGTCTGCAAGGCAAGAAGTCTACAAACACTATAATATAGTTAACATTACTTTTCAAAGAATAAGTGTAACATTTAAGACAGAATAGATTTGGAAGGTCACTGATTCCAATGCAAATTGACAGCAAATGAACAATAGTTTTCTCTGGTTTATTTGTGGACTGGAGAAGTGTTCAATTTTCCAAACACAAAACAAACCTCAAACATACATGACAATTTTTAATTTAAAAATCCATGAAATGCAAAAGGATTTTATTTATTCTTTTCAATCTGCAAGAAAAAAACCTCTCTGATTTTGTTCGCATCCTATGTTTGTTTTTCCTAAAGGATTCTCATTTCATTCTACCAGTTATTTCACTAGTTTTTGCTAAACTGAAGAATACACTACCTCAACCTACTTGCTTAGGCAATTTATACTGTTTATGTTTATATACCTTAGCATCCATTTCCCAAGATCTGGTTCTTTCCATATACCTCTATCATGTCATAAAATGCAGTTTACTACCTTCTACTCAATACAGCTACTGTAGACTAACTAAAGATGAATTTAAAAACATAAATCCAATTAGAAAAGAGTTTTACTTTGGGTACGGTCGCCCGAGAAGATTTTAAGCAGTACACATGATCAAAGTATGTTCTGTGCTGCAAACACACATTTATAATAAACTGAACCGATACCTTCTATTTATCATAATGGTCATGATCTTTAACCTATTATATTCTTACCTCATAATCATACATACATTTTAGGAATAAATAAAATCAGTTTCCCAACTTTTTGAACTTCTAGTTTCTAGATTTTGAACAAACTAGCCATTAAAATGAAGTAGCTGGAAAAGCTTAAATGGGAGGGAAGGTCCTTTTCCACCAGCAGAAAATTTCACAGCTCTCAAAAGCTTGACAGACTTCCAAGGAATTCTAATTCCAGCTGGTTAATCCATGATTTTCACCAACTCATGGTTTGTCTGTGTTTCAGATTTGGTTGCAATTATGAACTGCTTGATTTAAATATATTACAGTAATCAAAGACCTTAACACTTAATCCAAAATGACTAGTTAAGTCATTTTATTAGAACTGGAAATTCTAAAGTGGAAAAAAGATCAATCTATCCTGTAATACTTAAGTCCGAGTACTAAATTAGTAGTCTTGCCCATATCTGTGATTTACTTTGTGTACACTTGTAATTAAACATGGAAATGAGAAATGCCAACATAAAATGAGGAAACGTTAAAAAATAGTTAAAACATACCTGTGGAGAATCCAAATTACTGATCTAATCTCTGTTTTAATTTGGCACTTTTACCTTGCTATGCTAGTTTCAAAATTGTTTTTTTAAATGGTAAACCATAATAATATAGGCCTTGCTGTACTCAATGGACACAAAGCCATGTATGCACACAAATGAGTGGGTCTCACTTTATATCCCAAGCTTGAGATGTATTACATACAATTTCACTTACTCTAAAGTTAAGAACAGCCTTATTTTATGGCTGTTTCCAGAAACAAAGTTCTGATGGATAAAAACAAAGCTATGCTGCCACAAAACTGTAGCAAAATGGGTAACACTTATATTAAATCTAATAGGTGTATGTATGGTATTGAAATAATTTAATAAAAGCATTTAAATTACATATTTCAAACTGCAGTTATTTGGCCATATTCTGTAGGTATTAAATTGAGATGTGTATTTGCCACTACATTGAAAAACTGCTGCAGAATTTGTCATTCATACTGCAGGTTTTGCCTTAGCATACTGCACTGGGAGGACTGGAATTCTGTTGACGCCTAATCAAAACTATTACTCCTTTAATTTTATTCAGTCACCTCTCAATCAAATGAATACAACCCCTGGAATGAGACACAAAGCACACAAGCTTGAAGTGGGTTTCTTAAAATCACTATGTGCGTATGAACTGATTCTCCAACATTCAGGCTCATCAGTTGAGCCTATTCCCACGTGCAAATGCTTGAACGCAGAATCTTGGGGTTTGTGCCTTGCTTCCTCCCCCCACTTTTCGGTCTCATCTCTCAATTTGTACAAATCATAACAATCCTTGATGGTGCCCCTAATGGTACTGTCACAGATTAATCTGCAGATAGGCCTTTCAATTTTCTGATTATATGCAATAACTTGCTACAGCTGCAGAAGAGAATATTCACACTATGATATTTTGTTAAATTAATATTTTGTCTTCTACAACTCAGTCACTGCTCAGAGCACATAGAAACTGCTACCACAACAGGCAGCTTACAAAAACTGGCAGAGAGGAAGCCAGGGTAGTTTATTTCCTGAATTAAATGGCTGCAGGTATTTAAAAGGAACTTGACTTTAAGAACAAAGGTAACACAATTTTTCTATACAGATGTTCAAGGAAATTATAAATCACATGCACTTAAGCAGCTAAGCATCCGCGGACCCTTAATATTTCCCCAGCCTCTTTTTATGCAAATCCTCATTAAAAGATGTATCACAAGTATCTGAAGCACCACATACTGTAGGCATACAAAAAGCTCTACTCAAGTCTTGCACACAACTCGGATCAATTCTCAACCAAGGCAGATTTTCTCTTTGCCTTAGAACACACTTTGCAAATACCACTAAGCCATCTTACTAACGCCAGCACTAGGCGAGGCCTAAGCACACCACAGCTGCAAAACAGAACTTCCTCTTTAAGTAACAGTTAACTGTAAGTTAACATTACTGTAAGAGCGTTTCAACTACACCATTAAGTACACCCTCTCAGTTATCTCAAAGCTATTTGCAATGTTATCAGAAAAACACTTAGATTTACGCAAACTTAAACCCTGACGGTTGTTTCACATGAATTTTTAAAATTCTTCTAGCACATTCTAACAAAATGAAACAGAAACTAAGAGCAAGCTTTACTTCCTCGGTGAGAACACCAAAGTCAACCTCTGAGTCTCTGGAGGGATGAGCAGACTGGTCAGTATTCTGGCTCTTGCTCTTCCCAGTAGCCAGGGCAGATTCATCTAGACAAACTGTTTTATCCACCTTTGGTTTTGGTCATAGAACTTTTTTCCTCATCAAACATCTTTAGAAAGGAAGAGGTATTTTTGTCTATAGATAAGAATTTGTTTCTTAGTTGAATGAATGGGTGCAAAGCATTTTGAAGAGGGAGGCCACAACTACATGTATCTGTACATGCTTTCTTTGAAGGAATAATCAAAAGATCTCATTTCAGTGGATCTGTAACTGCAAAGGCCATCTATGGAACCACTCGTGCAACCAATTTAAATCGTCCTGAAAAACTAAGAATTCTAAGGAAGTTAAAAACCCCTCAGGATTTTAAGTATTGTTATTTCTCCACATTGTATGGATTTTTAAGTGCACTAAATGGAGCCAGCCTTGAGAATTGCTAGTATTGACAAATTAACAAGAGAAGGACCCTGAAATGAAAAGGAAGATTGCTAAAGAACGTCGTGCACTTCCTTCCCTTTGTTCAAGGCTGCATGAAGATAAAAGGGAAACCTGAAAAATTTAGGAACTTGGCAAAATAATCACCCACAGCTGTTTTGCAGTGGGGCAAGTAGAGCAGAAGCAGGAAACAAATACAGGGATGGCTGCAGGAAACATAAAAGTGGTTTATACGATGAAAAATTTTCTTGATTAAAAGCAAAATGAAATAATACATCATTATCAACACTGCTGATGTGACAGTTACAACCCTGCTTATGACATCACAGTTCATGACTGGGGGCAATATGATTTCACAAAATCAACCACCAGTTTATAGGAAACGTTTAAATAGAATATGGTGAAGAGGGAAAAGGCTTAGTGTATTTGTCAACTGGGAAAAGGCTAGCAAAACATTCTTACATGTTCACAAAAGGAAAAAATAATTCCATCGTCATCTTTAAAATGCACTAGCAAATACCTGTATGTTCACTACTTACTATTCCAAAGGGAAAGGAACTGGAATTTTTTTTCCTTTCTTGTGACCAGTATGTTTTCTCCCACCCACTCCCCTCCAAAGAACCCAAACCAAACAAAAACAACCCCGTAAAATAAATGCTGGTTTTGGCTATTATTAACACAATTTCTTCTAATGAAGAGCCTAGATTTGGGAATATTACCAAAAAAAAATTTCCAACAGATGAACCCAGAATTCTAAATATTTCCTGTGGAAGTCATTGATACACAGGTACAGCTCCACTTCATAAAGGAGAAAGAATGATGTTATTTCTGCTCCAACTAATATGAAGAAAAAACTTTATCATTATCACTGGCTACAATTATTTGTATTTTACAGCACAAATTCAAATTACTGTTAAACAATTGTATTAAAAAGAAAAAAAAAATCAATACAGCTTTTTTGAGTAGTTTATAAAGATGATGTAATGATGCCCTTTCTTACTCTTGACAAGGATGATTGACTAAGATGAAAGTAGCAGGACTAAATGGCCAAACATGATGAAAAGTTAATAATTAATTCTTCAATATATTAATGATATGAAAATGGAGGACTGCACTGAGTCAGCAATTTTTTTACATAAAACATAGAAAACACATTGACAACCACAGAAAACCAAAAAAAACCCCAGCAATATAAACTCTTAGCATAGAAACAGCTGGGCGGTAAAATGTACAGTGAAAGAAATTATTTTAGTTCTACTGGGTAATAAATTAACCATTCAAGAAAAGGGTAGTATTTTAATGGAGATAGCATATTGCAAAAATCCAAAACTTAAAAATGTTCCTAGAACCATAAAGTTCACAACAGAAAGCATTATTGTGTATGTGAGATAAGCCTTCTGTTGGGGCAGGGGGAACAAACAAACAGTTCCTGCTTCTTTTCTCTTGTTTCTCTAGAAAGCAACAAGCTGAATGGATAGGCTTTGTGAGCAGGTAATGAGAACTAGAAGCATGAAAAAAACCTTCAATTGAAAAAAAAT